TTCCAGTGCCATGGCGTACAAGAGGAACCCCATGCGAGCGGAGCGTTGCTGCAGCTTGGCTCGACATCTGGTGGCGCTGATGGCCGACCCGCTGCAGACGGCCTCGGTGCAGTGGCTGGAGAGGACACTGGACGACAGCGCTAACAGGTCAGCAAACCTCATGCAGCTTTTTTTTTTAGATTGCTCCTCTGCTATGGATAACGAACAAAGTTAAGGTTTGGAGCGAGTTTGTCTTGGTTGTGTGTGTCCATCAAGCTGCTAAGTTGTTAGTGAGTGAACTCAAGGTTTCCAGATATGGGCTCATGCAGAGACACTGAACTCATTGCAGGAGGATCTCTCTGCCCGAGTCCTTCCTCACAGCAGACATCATCCTCAGCACGCTGCAGAACATCACAGAGGGACTGGTGGTTTACCCCAAAGTCATCGAGAGACACATCCGCCACGAGCTTCCCTTCATGGCCACAGAGAACATCATCATGGCCATGGTGAAGGCTGGTGGAAACAGACAGGTAGGAGGAGTGCTCTAAGCTGTGAGGGATATTTGTATTGACAAAATAATTAATGATCTAAACATAAAGCAATGTTTTATTTTTTCTTATTTTTACCCTTAAGAGATTACCAGAAACAAAACTAGGTATTTTTATGTCTTCAAACTCTGTTTCACATATTTTCATAGAAGATGTTTTAGCACCAGATTAGACTAAAAACCAACAAAATTAACTGTCTCCTTTGTGTTTTCAACTTTTTAAAGTTTGACAGAACAGGTAATAGGGATAAAATCACTCTGTACCCAGGGCTCCATCTTTGTGCTCTCTCCTTCAGGACTGCCACGAGAAGATCCGCGTTCTGTCCCAGGAGGCAGCGGCTGTGGTCAAACAGGAGGGTGGTGATAACGACCTTCTGGCCAGAGTTCAGCGAGACCCCTACTTCGCCCCCATCCTGGGACATCTGGACGCTCTGCTGGACCCCAAGACCTTCATTGGCCGCGCTCCTCAGCAGGTACAGCATCTTTTTTACACCAGCCATTTTTGGTCCACTCTGCTGCTCTGCCTTTACAAGTGTGGAGTAAGTGTATATGGAACATACAAGCGAGGGGTGGGCCAGGGAATTCATGCATGAGGCAAGTAAGTAATGTGTTTTTGTTTGCAGCACATCGACACCGTATCACACAAAGCTCTCGAATCTCGTTTTTATTTCCAAGTGACTTCATCAGCCGCTCCTACGCGTAAAGCTCCTGAGATATTTGTATTCTTCAGACATTTTTCTGATTTCTCATACGGGCTCACTCACTTTTCTGAGAATTTACTCGCTGCAGGAAAATTGAGTTCAGTGCATGTCCGAAAGCAGCAACCCCCAGTTTTTATTTCTCATGGGCATCAAATCTGCAGAAAAGAAAAACTTGTAATATGCTCAGTTTTTTTTCTTCTGCTGCCTCCTCCTCCGTCTTTTTTAGGTGGCCAGGTTCCTGACTGAAGAAGTACGCCCCCTGCTGGAGCCATACAACGCAAAGATGGATGTCAAGATTGAGCTCGAACTCTGAAACACGCACTGACTTGAACAAAAGCCACTAAAATGAGACTTTGTGAACGCAGCCTTATACCACAATAAAGAACAACCGGTGAATAAACGTCTTTTTTCCCGTAATTTTCATTCCAGTAATTAAATACATCTCCTCCAAAAGATAATTTATAATATTGTAATAAATTATGATAATAATTTAATGTAATGTTCCTGTCATCCTTTTTGACAGGAACCAAATGTCTAGAATCACAGAAAACATACTGAGAAAAATTAATTTGACGTGTACTTGACTTTTTGGTTCCCATCCACTAACATGGAGGTGATGGAGACGATTTGACGTCACTTTTGAGGAAGTCCTTCAACTTTATAAACAGTGGCTGAAACTAGAGAGGTTGTATTGCTCTCTACAAGTGTTCAGAACTAATAAATGAAATAACAACAAAATATTTATCAGTTGACTCATGAATCAATCGACTTGACTCTTTAAATAGTAGAAGCTGCATGAAACAACAGTTCTGTGCTTCTAAATCGTGACTTGACCCACGTAGTAGTAATTTCATGCTAACACAAGGTGGCACCATTCAACTATTCTTCACTCTGCACAGTTTGAACTCAATCAGAAGAAGTTAACTGCATCCTCCAGTGCCAGTCAAGCATTTATTTACAACAGTATTTTTATTTATTGTCTGTACTATGTATTTTCTATTTCTCTGTTTTTTATTTGTTGTGTATAGACACTGAATACCAGGAGAGGTCTGGTGTTTTTTCAGCCTCACTCGCCACCTGTCAGCTGGGTCATACAACAGAGGAAGGGAAAGAGAAAAGAAGGATGGTGTGAAGGAAATGTTAGGTTAGCGAAAGAAAGACAGTTTACTTATGACGTCATAGTGAGAACCACTTCAAGCACTTTACCAAAATCACTGATCAAAACTCTATGATATGATTCATGTGTTTAATAAGACTTGAAATCAGCTTTCTTCTGTGATTTTAACATCTTACCTGCATCCTGAAGATGTGAGAAGCATCTTCGGGACAGGCACTCAACAACGGGGGCGCCATGGCGGAGCGATGCCGCCCGGCGGTCATTTCACTGATGGGAAAATGCAGCTCTGGTGCTATGCCAGCGTGTTTTTGGAAGATGCTTCTAGTTTAGACAGAGGTTCTACATTCAGCACAATTTGTCAGGGTTATTTGAGATGGTGGAAAACAATGGTGCTCTCACAGCGACGCTCATAGTGGGCGAGGTCCGAGTCTTGGCTCCAGCGCTCAGACTGTTTCTCTCATCCAAGTTCTCTGCTCATTTAAACATATTGTCTCAGGGTCTGTTGGCAGCGTCTTTGGTCGCACTTGGTGATCAAATTTTTCACTTTGGTTTGCATCTCTTCTTGATGTCATTAGAAAAATCACTGGGGGCATGTAAAGAAGCTTGAGATGGGAATACTGGGCCCCCAGTGTCCAGCTCTGTCCTGACAGCATTCTTTCACATACTCCACGCTGTGTGATCACCAGAGGGGGGCTTTGACAAGCGGGCACAGGGATCAGACGGACGGCTCGGAATTCTATGGGAATTTCTCAAGTGCCGTTAGTTACCAGTGTTTCTGCTGCAGACGGCAGGCAGAGTTTCTACCCACACTTGTGGTTCAACAATGATGTCTCGGCTCTCTGATAAACCGCAGCAGACTGGCGACATCAACTTCAGTTTGCTCCGACTTGACAAAGTTCACAACATTATGATAATCTGAGAACTGGAGAACTTGGGTGGCCCTGTCTTGCAAACACTCTTTTTTTTTTAGCAAGTTGAGGGATCTTTAAATCTTTGTCAAAGTGTAGTCTGCCTTGGGGAGCAGTGTTGAAATGAGAATATGTTTCCAGATTGTATAGCAGCTCATGCAGAGGAATTCAGAAGGAGAGCTTTGGCGCCAAAATACCCTTAACCCTGCTGTTTTCATTAGTGAGTATAAAAGGCTTCTGATAAGGTAGTAAAACTCATAAAATCACCAGGAGCAACGTGCAAAGATTGAGAGGCCCTCGATGTAAATGTCAGAAAAAGGTCTGTATCCTCTATTGTAGCACGAGAGAACACGGTTCATGTGACACTTGCATAGTTGATTTTGACTTTGAGTCAAGAAGGAGGTAATAACAGTCGTGCTTTCTAAGCCTATGCCGTAATCTCTCCCAACACCTGCTCGTGCTCTCGTCTTTCTTATCCCATCTACAGCTCTTGAGCAGAAACAATAGCAATGCTTTTCTATCAGTCGCCTCCAAGTCCACTATCAGACATAGGAGCGGTCGCCTTCAGCCGCTCGGCTTCTCCGTAACAGCGCGACCTGTCAGCTCTTATCATCGAAGAGCCAAATCCTGTGCATTCCACTCCGAAAGGCCACCTAATCTGACACTATACCACAAACTCAACAAGGCTTAGAAATGGCGGCCTGTTCGTGTCGGGATCTCGTCAGGGTTTGAAAGATAGGTGCAGAAGAGAGATGGGATTGTTGAGCAGATCTTAGAGACAGGCCAAAGAGTCCCAGAGAGATAGACTGAGCGATAGAGACAGAGGAGTGGGCACCAGCAGCCGTGATCTCACCCTCCTCTCCCCTCCTTTGGCAGGGTCTTCCAGAAAGCTGCCCTTTTGCTGAAAAATGCCAAGCACACCACATTCCACCAGCTACACAAAGGCCCTCCCTCGTCTCAGCTGCACAGGCACAATCAGACAAGGGATAATTATATAATTAGGCTGGCTGGTGTAGACGGGGCCTCAGATGGTGTGTTGGTGTGTCATATTTATGTTATCGGACAATGAAGAGAGTCGGGCTTTATCAGACGAGGCATTAGAGTGTGTGGGGGGTTCAGCTGTGGCACTTATATGCTCAGATTGTCACGACGGGTCGATAGAGTGACCTTTAGCCCGTGGCCCAGCTCAGATGAGGGCATGTATTGTGGCCGAGCCCCGGTGTGTGTGTGTGTGTGTGTTGCCATCCTGTGATATGCGTTAGGGAGGTGGGGACTTTCTGGGGCTCCCACAAATCAATCAGACGGAGATGAAAATTGGGGGAAAGACTTCTGTGCCCACGACTCTGAACACACCGAGATACAGTATAGTGCTGATTCACATTCATGCAGATATAAGCAGGGTCGGGGTTGATGTACCTCAGGCAGAAGTGTGGCCCTCCTGGGCGGCCTTACATCCAACCAGACCTCATGCGTTTAGCTGTTCTACCAAACCCACCAACCTAACCTGCCTCAATGCATGAGGCCTTGTTTGAGGGTTTCCAACCACGGTTTCGTTGCATTCTCCTGCATAAAAGACGATCATAGAATTTACTGTGGTTCTCACAAAGTGGTCGTCAACTTTACCTGGGGCCCCAGTGTTCAGGTGTTTTCGTTGACTCCATACATGGCTGTCTTTAAATAATACTATATCATAATTTCCTGTTCCACAATCTTTCCACAAACCCGTCAGCTGCAGAAATACCCGTGGCTGCAGGAGAATCTCACTACATGACCACTACAGTTTATAGCCCAACAGATAAGACCTGCTCTGCCCTCTCGTCAGGGCACGATCTCTGCTCCCAGACGAGAATTGAGCCAGTGTCCCTCTCGGTTGGCCGTCACCCAAAAATCTCCCCTCGCACCGTGGCCTTGGCTTTGGGTGTGTCTCCACTCGCACGGGACGGCACAGAATAGGCTATTGTTGATCACACAAGACAGAGAACCAGGGGAGGAAGGAGGGGTGGTAGTGGTGGTCTGGAGATGGTGGGAGAAGAAATTAGATTTTAACGAGCGGGCAAAAAGCTTGTGGACAATGCATCAGGGCTCCCCTCCCACATACATACATACATGTGCACCAATGCAGAGCCACTGGACACACACACACACACACACACACACACACACACACACACACACACACACACACACACACACACACACACATTG